AAGATCACAATACATGGAATCACAGCATCTCCTTAACCCCGAACAACATGGTTTCAGAACAGGGCGCTCTTGCCTGTCACAGTTGCTGGACCACTATGATATGGCCTTAGATGTCATGGAAGACAAACAAAACGCTGATGTAATTTACACAGATTTCGCAAAAGCCATTGACAAATGTGACCATGGTGTTATTGCACATAAAATGCGTTCAAAAGGAATTATCGGAAAAATAGGCAGGGAGGGAGGGAATTATCACAGGAAAGCGCCAAGCCATTGCGACTATATAGCACTGGGAAGGGAAGGATAAGGATTTAGGATGGGACGGGGGGGTGGGGGGGGAGGAAGGAATGGTGCCCAACCACTTGAACGATCGGGGATTCGATCGATTGCCGACCTGCATGAAGCGAGACCGTCGCTCTTCCGTCCAGCCCAAATGGTTGGGTAGGAAAACAGAACAGAATCCAATGTGTAATAGTCAACAAAATAAAATCCGGTCCATCAACCGTGAAGAGCTGTCCCCCAGGGTACTGAGCTTACTTCAGTACTTTTTCTCATCCTCATATAGAACATAGACAAGGACACTAGCTATAGTACTCTATCATCTTTTGCAGATGACACTAGGATTTTCATGAGAGTAGACAACATAGAGGACACGGCAAACCTCCAATCAGATGTAAATCAGGTCTTTCTATGAGCTACAGAAAATAATATGGTGTTTAACGAAGATAAGTTCCAGCTCATGCGCTACGGAAAAAAATGAAAATATAAAAACGGAAACCACGTACAAAACTCAGGCAAATCATAACATAGAACGAAAAGGCATTGTAAAGGATCTGGGTGTACATGTCGGAAGACCTTACCTTTAAAGAACACAATAAAGTAGCCGTCACAACTGCAAGAAAAATGACAGGTTGGATAACAAAAACCTTTCGCACAAGAGATGCTATACCGATGATGATACTTTTCAAAACGCTTGTGCTCTCTTGAGTGGAGTACTGCTGCACAATGACAGCCCCTTTCAAAGCTGGAGAAATTGCTGACCTGGAGAGCGTGCAGAGATCCTTTACTGCTAGAATCCACTCAGTAAAACATCTAAACTACTGGGACCGACTAAAAAGCCTAAATCTGTATTATCTTGAGTGCAGGCGGGAGAGATACAAAATAATTTACACGTGGAAAATAATAGAGGCTGGTCCCAAACCTGCACACAGAAATAACATCACATGAGACCAAAAGGCATGGCAGGATGTGCAGAATACCCCCGTTGAAAAGCAGAGGTGCAACAGGTACTCTCAGAAAGAACTCTATTAACTTCAGAGGCCCGCGGCTGTTAACACGCTTCCACTACACATAAGGGGCATAACTGGCTGACTCCTCACAGTGTTCAAGAGAGAACTCGATAAGCACCTCCAAAGGATACCTGATCAACCAGGCTGTGACTCATACGTCAGGCTGCGAGCAGCCGCGCCAAACAGCCTGGTTGACCAGTCCAGCAAGGAGGAGGCTTGGTCGATGACCGGGCCGCGGGGACGCTAAGCCCGCAAACACCTCAAGGTAAGGTCAAGGTGGCCTAGTCGACTAAGGCAGCGTCAGGGATCATCCCGGGCGTAAGTTCGAACCCTCATCACGGTCCCTGTGGATTTGCTCATTGGGTAATATGTGTATTGTTTGTGATGTGTATATATATATATATATATATATATATATATATATATATATATATATATATATATATATATATATATATATATATATATATATATATATATATATATATATATATATATATATATATATATATATATATATATATATATATATATATATATATATATATATATATACATATATATATATATATATATGTATATATATATATATATATATATATATATATATATATATATATATATATATATATATATATATATATGTACATATATATATATATATACATGTATATATATATATATATATATATATATATATATATATATATATATATATATATATATATATATATATATATATATATATATATATATATATATATAGATGTATATATATATAGATGTACTCACCTAATTGTGCTTGCGGGGGTTGAGCTTTGGCTCTTTGGTCCCGCCTCTCAACTGTCAATCAACTGGTGTACAGATTCCTGAGCCTATTGGGCTCCTCTATCATATTTACATTTGAAACTGTGTATGGAGTCAGCCTCCACCACATCACTTCCTAGTGCATTCCATTTATTAACTACTCTGACACTGAAAAAATTCTTTCTAACGTCTCCGTGGCTCATCTGGGTACTAAGTTTCCACCTGTGTCCCCTTGTTCGTGTCCCACCCGTGCTGAAGAGTTTGTCTTTGTCCACCCTGTCAATTCCCCTAAGAATTTTGTAGGTGGTTATCATGTCTCCCCTTACTCTTCTGTTTTCCAGGGATGTGAGGTTCAGCTCCTTTAGCCTTTCCTCGTAGCTCAATCCTCTCAGTTCCGGGACGAGCCTGGTGGCATACTGCTGAATCTTCTCTAACTTTGTCTTGTATATATATATATATATATATATATATATATATATATATATATATATATATATATATATATATATATATAATGTATATATGTATATAGATATATATATATGTGTATATATATATATATATATATATATATATATATATATATATATATATATGTATATATATATATATATATATACATATATATATATATATATATATACATATGTGTGTGTGTGTGTGTGTGTGTGTGTGTGAAAAAGCTGCATGAACGCGCAAGCCATAGATCACTAAGAACTCTTTAACCCGGCCAGGATTCGAACCCATGCCGTGTAGGATCACCCCTAAACTTACCCAATTTAAGGGTGACCACCGCATCAATGATCGTCATAGACGATCATTGGTGCGGTGGTCACGGTACTGCGTACGTTTAGGGGTGATCCTAGAAGGCATGGGTTCGAATCCTGGCCGGGTCAGAGTTCTTAGTGTTCTTATATATATATATATATATATATATATATATATATATATATATATATATATATATATATATATATATATATATATATATATATATTTCATTGAATATGACCGCATATTCTGTATTTATTATTTTCTGGTTTAGGGCTTCTATCCCTCTAACTATTTTCTTAGCATCAGGGCTTAATTGAAATAGGAGTTCTCCAAAACTCATTTTCGTACTTTTAAGGTGAAGAAAAGAAGTGATTTACTATAGAGTGTATTACACTTATTTGTATAATTTGCACGACGTTTCGAACCTCCATGGTTCATTCTCAAGTGAACAGATCTTACAATAAACCATGGAGGTTCGAAACGTCGTGCAAATTATACAAATAAGTGTAATACACTCTATAGTAAATCACTTCTTTTCTTCACCTTAAAAGTACGAAAATGAGTTTTGGAGAACTCCTATTTCAATTAAGCCCTGATGCTAAGAAAATAGAGGGATAGAAGCCCTAAACCAGAAAATAATAAATACAGAATATGCGGTCATATTCAATGAAACATGTTTGAAAGAAAACCTGCTGCCAGTATACACCAATATATATATATATATATATATGGGTAATATAATAAATGTATGTGTGTAAATGTAAATGTCATATATATATGTAAATCATAAAAAAATAAACACTATAAAAAACAGTGTCAGACCACGGAGGATGAAACAGGAATTTGGAGGAAAAGGTAAAAACTATAAAACTAGAGTTATTCCACCAGGTAACTATCACAGATGAGATTAGTAAAACAGGGGAGATATGATCACCACATAGAAAATGCTCAGGAAAATTGAAAGGATAGACAAAGACTTGTTCTATAGCATCAAAGGTACACGGAGAAGGGAACACTGGTGGAAGCTATGTGCCCGCATGAACTATAGGAATGTTAAAAAAAAATCTGTCACTGCAACAGATAGAAAGAACTAGGAAGTTTGAGAAGCAGTCTATAATGACAGCTTGAAATGTAGGTAAGACAAAGCCCAAAAGTGTACGGTAATACACCGTGTACATAGTGTGTACCAGTCGATTGATTGTTGCTATGGAAGTCACAGGAGCTGAAGCTCAACCCATCGAATACAGCTAGGCGGATGCATCTAGGTGAGTACACACGCCCTCACCACTAACCGCACCACCATCTGGGTGCGTCTCCAGCAAGTATTGATTTATTGCAAGCAGCAGCCCAGATGCTATTGATTACCTGGGAAAATATGGCAAATTAATGCTATGAAATTTTACCACATGTTGTACATTTAGGGAAGCCCATGATTGCATATTTTAAGCAATGGTATGTTAAGAAATTATTAGAATAATCTCTTATGATCAGTTCTAGAAGCGGGTGGCACTCTTACCTTTAAGAAAAAAAAGCGCCAGCATATTTGGGTTTTATTTACAGGGCTATGCGGACCTCGCAGGACGCGAGTGGGCGGCAACTTGCGGGTTTACAGCGTAATTTCCTGTGATCGCGGACACCATCATGTGCTATCAATTTGATATCAAACTCCGCCCCACGGCGCAAACTGGCCATTACGGGGTGGCGGCGGCGCGGGGCTCGCCACTGGTGACGTAGAGGGCCACCGCGGCGCTATCAAACTGCTATCATTGGTGGATCAGGCGGCATCAAACTCCGCCTCCATGATAGCCACGCCTCAAGCCGCGCACCCATTGGTTGCCACCTCGCATCCACTCCTACTAAATCTACCCAATACTCCGAAATCCTACCTCTAATTAACGTAAAACTTCATCCCTTGTGCCCTTGCAATCGCTCCGAACAGTGGGAGATGGTGCCGCAAGGACGTCGCTAGCGGTAGTACGCGACAGCGACGGTAGTTACGAGTATTATAAGGCGTAATCGGGCGTGATATCGCTTGTTTGCGGTGGTGACGTCTGGCAGCGCGGCCAGACTGGGGCTCTCGCTCTAAGATTCCCTCAGTTGTATTCCGTGGTCCGTGTGACGTAGTGTGTGTCCTTCTTGAAACATTTTGATTTACGCAGTGGTTCCTCCAAATCCGTCAAGATTCGGGTCAAAAACAGAGAGCCCGTTCCCGTGTACCAGATGGAGCACCCGGAGATCGACGACGATGGTCGCATGGTGAGTGATGTAGCTAACTTTTGGGCGTTTTTAGTCTCCGAAATGCTCTTGAGGAGCGGGGTCGCATGGGCGGTCTCTACGCTGGTTTGTTTTGGTTGTAAAATTGTGCACATTCCATGATAGCCACGTGGGCGGTGGTGGGCGTGGTGGGTGTGCTAGTGATGGTGGGCGTGGGCTGTGTCTCGAGAACGGGACAGTTTTAACAGTGATATTGTTAAGGGACTGACAATGTTATTGAACGCTTGCAGGCCAGAGTGTTTTAATTTATATACACGGTTCCAGTACTTGATTACCTATTTTATGTTGGAATTTAGTTTATGTAATTTTGTTTTCATAGCTGTATTATAAATCAAAAGGAATACATATCAATCATCAATTAAATAAATTGTATAATTAGAAGTGCATTTGTATAAAGTTAAAACAAATTGTTTTATAAGAAAAGTATTTGAAATTGTTGATATAAAAATAAGGGTATCAAATGACATTAATATGATATGCATATATGATAAAAAAAACACATTTATAATGTATCAGGAATTAGTCATATTTTATAAATATTAAAAAAATCTGGAATTAATTTTTATAATATTCAAAGTCATATTCCTATGCTAATAAAAATCAAAGTAAACACCACCAAGAACATAAACATATCTGAAAATAATGGTATGTAGCCTTCAAGATGCAGCGTTGAAAATGCGTGAAGTCTGAAGACTGTGATAGTGTAACCTTAGGTGGAACTAGAGTGCATAATATGTTGGGGACGGAGGTAAACTTATATAACCCCCACAAATATTAATAAGCGTAACTTTGAAATCTATTATTCACTGTGTTTTTAACTTCATAATTGGTGTGAAATTATATCTCGCACAGTTCGTATGGAAAACTTTTCTTGCCGAGATTGAAATCTACTATGAAACTAATTCACAGAATCAAAATCTTAAAAATTAAATATGGGTCTATGTAAAGGATATTCTTCTGTTATGAATGTTAACTGGTAAAGTATGAGTTACTACTAATAATATTGTCATTAAATTTGCTTCGAAATCGTGGAGTAAATAGTAATAATTCCATTTAAGGAACACAATTACGTTACGTATTCTAAGCTAAATAAATATAATAATATAACTAATGCTGTTATTTTCGAAACCATTAGAAATAGACTACTGAGTGCCACAGCGTAACGGTAGATTGATTGAATGTGGATTATCATTATCTCAAATCCTCTAGAAGCCATGTAGGTTGTGCATTTGACAGTCCCACAAAAACTTAATGCGAAGGGAAATGTCAAGCAGTCATTATGACTCCTTTCTTGTGCAGAGTTTGTAGTGGCCGACGCTCCGGACACATGTTGTGACACCACTGTCTAGTAATTTCTATTAGGTACATAATCCTGGCTTTATATATATATATATATATATATATATATATATATATATATATATATATATATATATATATATATATATATAAACATGCTTTAACAGGAGTTAAACAGTTATATGTTTTAACAGGAGTTAAAACAACTTGGAAATAATAGTTGTAACAACAGTTGATAATAAATTGATCAAACAGAACTACTCAATGGCCGGTATCCAACGTTTTCACAATATTTAGGTTTGTCAGTCTTTAGGCTTGCACTCTGCTGCTTCAGTTTTATATATATATATATATATATATATATATATATATATATATATATATATATATATATATATATATATATATATATATATATATATATATATATATATGATGTGTAGTTATAAGGTTTTAACCCTCTTTCATGGTCTGTGTACGAACCATGTTAGACTATGCAAAAAGGAAAAATAGGTATTAATACCGCCATTCGTACGAAGCGCATGGCTTGTCGAAGCAAACGTTGTCCGAAACGCGAGACTTGCCGTTGGTAATCTGAGTGATGGTTATTTCTTTATTTATTTATTTATTTATTTATTTATTTATTTATATACAGGAAAGCACATTGGGTTTGTGAGAGTACATAACATTGGTGTTCTTACATTCTTGCAAAGCCTCAAACACGCATAGCGTTTCGGGCAGATAACATGTTGTGAATGAGTAACGTTGAAGATAAATAATAGGAGTTATAACTCATAAATCTGTTATTGCTATTGATTGTGCAAGTGAAGGATTTTGTCACCAGTTCTTCAAATGAATATTTCGAATTATTATTCACTCATAACTGTGAAAAGTTTTTGCGAGAAAATAAAGAATACATCAGAATGTACATAATTCCTCATAATTATAGTTATAACTGAAAGAGGTAACGGTGAACTTAAATCTAATTAAAACCCCGTTGCATATTGAATAGCTTGAGGTTGATCCTGGCAGATCAACCAGGCTGTGATTCGTACGTCAGGCTGCGAGCCTTGTTGATCAAACGACCAACCGGGAGGCCTTGTCGGAGACCGGGCCGCGGGGCCACTGATCCCTAGAAGCTATAAAAGGTAGGCAGCGGTTCAAATGTTATGGGTCGAGTGAATACCGGTATAACATTATTACGGGATATACCGGTATATCCCGTAAAACAAATGGAGGAAAGTGTATTCTGTCTCGACCTCTCATGATAATATTACGTATACAACTTGGATAATGTAAAATTCCTTATCAGTGTGGGCTTCACCAAGTGTTATACCGGTATCCAGTCAGGGACAGGGAGACAGACGCTATCAGTGAAAAGCCAGGCTATGTCCATGTGTTAACTCATTCAGTTACTGGCGTGACTAAACAATGCTGAACGTGACCTAGCGACGTGCATGGCAATATTGAATTTTTGTTTTATATCAAGGTAATTGTGGGGAATGAAGTTTTCGTGTTTTAAAAATATATTAGAGTTTAATGTAAATATTTAAATTGTAAATAAGTATCGACTGGTGACTTGCAGGTGTTTAGTGTCTGGGCTACGCTGTGTAAAATGTCTGGTTAGGTAAGGTAACCAGCTCTGAAATAGACGGCTGGCCAACATGTGGATAGAAAATGTATTATTATTTTGTTTATGAAGCTTATTTGTTTAACATTTAAACAATTATATTAGTTATTCTTTGTCAATTATATAATCGCTAGTAATCAGGTATTTTTTGTTATTAATATATCACATTTATCGGTTGTATATTTATAAAACAATAATCTATGGTATAGTTGTACAACTGTTCATTGCCTGAAAGGGTCTATCAACATTTTCGTTATTTGTCATAAAGATCCGGTTGTCAACAGCACATAAGCCAATTAGGGGATTAGGGTTCAATCCCTTTACAATATTATTATAGCATTTATAATGTCGATATATATATAGTTAATTTAAAGAGTGCCGGGCAGCATAAAATGAAATAAGGAATCTAGAAACCAGAAAACCACTCTTAGTACGGATTGGGGTAGTTTACATTGGCAGTCATTTAATAGGCATGTGGTAGGCTACAACTTTCCTTGAGCCGGGCAGGTTATGACCGCCTTCCTTGTATCATGCCGGCTACCCCCGTCTCATAACCAGTCTTGCTTTGTAGGAAGTATATCGACAACAATATCGTTCCCAACAAGCTGCATCTTCTCATTTTCCAAACTAGCTTGTCATTGTCTTGTTCCTGTAATGACAGGTTAAGCACTGCCAAGCAGGCCAAACATGGTCATGCGCTTGTTAGTGAAGGTCCCCCCAAGCAGGTCAAATACTGTCATGCAGTTATTAGACCAGGTAACAGGTAGACCAAATACTGCCATGCACTTGTTAAACTAGGGACCCAGACAGGCAAACACTGCCATGCAATTCTAATGAAAGTTGCAAAGCGGTTTTTGTATCTGTTAGAAAAGGTACTAGGTAGACTAAGTACTAGGTACTAAGTAGACTAAGACACCCGCAAGGTCTGGTGCGGCTGTGTGCTGTGTGCCCCGGAAGTTTTTGTCTCGCAATTAATCAGAAATAACATTGTATAAAACAGTTATTGAATATCCATGTACAACACTTATTTGCTTTTAATGATGAAATACGAGGAAAGCAGGTCACCACGAGCATACCTCTCATCGTGTAATCTGAGTGCATTTGAGTATACACGAATACATTAATATAATCACACGCATCAAAATATATCAATCCGCATCTTTTACACCTGACTAAGTGACACGTAACAGGTGGCATTTAATTCATATGCTAATCAAATGACTATGTTCATATTGAAATTCATATTAACTGTGTACACATGTACATTTATTAATGAAGATAAATGTATCTACTCTTTTCTGAATGATCATATTGATCAACACGGGATATCATTTGCACTGTGTTTTATCTAGATTTGTAATGTAGTAAATTTTCAATTTACTACAATTTTTAGTAAATTTTCATGTATCCAATAGTAAATTTTCAATTTACTATTGAAATTTACAATAGTAAATTTTCAATTTACTATGGTAAATGTTCTAAATTTAATTAAAACCATTTAAATAAAATAAAATTTGTAGTAAATTTTCAATTTACTACCTTAAACTATGTCATTAAGAATCAATACTTCGGTGAAGGTTCATTAGTTCCACGGAGCCTGGCAGGCTCGTTCCTGGTTGACGCCCGGGCCGCGGGGATGCTAAGCCCCGAAAACCTCTCAAGGTAAGGAGCCTCTTGGACCAAATATCACAAGTCAAGCCTGGCCCGTCCGGGCTTGGGTTAGAGAAAAACAAAACAAAACTACAAGAATCCACTAAAGGTATAAATTTATACAACTGAAAGTGTACTCGCGTCCTATGTTCAGGACTAAATACTATTTGGTGATTGGTGAGTAAGTTAGTATCAAGATCTTAATAATTTTGCAGAAGTTGATAGGCTTTAAGCTCGACACTAAACTAAAAATTTTGTCTTGAAATGTTAAATCAATAACTGGAATATGTTGCAAATTGTTTTATAGTAAATGTGAAAATGGTAAGCAACATACATAAGAAATTGGATACGATTGCTCATTTAAAACGCTGAATTTATATGCTTCTTAATTTCCTAATTATGA